TTGGATCGTTTTCGTTTAACGAGCCTTTAAATTGTTGTATTCCATGTGATTGCTCGATCACTATACAACAACTCTATAACCGCGCGATTCTGCCTGCCATATGATACCGAAATGAGTCAATGACACAGTATTATCGAACACAATATTAACGAGAAAAATGTTCTGGCCTGTGCACGCGTGTCACACATACATCATAAGTATCGATGATTGATTGTATTGACTATGAACGCGATCGTCTCCTGTGAAAGCCCATATTGAAAAATGCAATTCACAATGCTAACTAATTGCTACAACGCTTGTATACGAAAGGATAAAAAAGAAAAATGATGAAGTATAATTAAGAACGGATCAAGATTCCCTCGAATCGATTCAAAGTTCAATGTTGCTCGATTTAGTTTGCCGAAGTAACGTTGTTCGATGCGTATATCACTCACCTTCACCGACATTTTGCTTGATCGCGTAATCACCAATTCGCGCACTATCACTTACAATTTATCGATTCACTGTACCGAGGACGAATTCTAGGCTTTGACGACGAGACAGAGTGTTTGGTATAGTTTTTTTGGGGAGAGGGCGGGACGAAATGGAGGGAAAGGGAAAACGGAGTGAAAATCAAGGAGAAGAGAGGTATTACTCGAAACTGTACCGTCCTCGAGGACTATGACATTTTCCAGCGTTTTCCTCGGCTCAGCCACTATATATCGGCGTTCCTAACTTTCCGTGGCTCTCTCTTATGGGGATGCTTTGACGCACCTCCAACTCCCCTTCCAATCTTCTCCCGATATTGATTTCCTCCGAGGCTGGGTACAACCTGCCATCTTTTACCGTCACTTCGCGCCGGTAACCGCGTCGTTTACCATCCTGATCCAACTATATTATCGTTTTCCCTATTCATTTCTATACGAATCTGGTGTCCAATTAATTAATCGTACTTGTTTGTGCCGAAAAAAAAATCAATCAAACATTTCCCTTTCTTCCTCGATCTTTCTCTTTTATCATTTTATCTCTATTTATCTGTCCCTCTCTCTCTCTCTCTCTCTCTCTTTCTCTCTTTCTCTCCGTTCGGTGAAAATAAAATAATTTGATCGAAAGTAGTTTCCTTCCTGCGCAATCGGTAACGCATTATCATATCACAATAACTCTATTTCTATAGAAAAAAAAAAAAAAGAGAGAAATTCGAACGAACGATTTAAACGTGTTGGTAAACCAAAAACGAACAGAAATTAGGGAATAGAATTTACTGCATAAATATGATGTACACTTCAGAAAGTACATACAATGAAAAAAAAAATGATCGATAATTAGAATATTATCGAATAGGAAATTTATTCTGGCAAGTGTGAGAATTCTAAGAGGAACAGGGACACTTTAAACTGCCATAACTTCTTAACAAAAAAGTCTTATACTCATTTTTATAAAAAGTTTCCACTTCCAAAATCTTGCGTTCGTTTTTTCAAAGACATTTTTACATCCGTATTTCATAAAGATACTTTTTCTCTCAAAAATTTTGCAAATTCTTTGAAGGTTAAACAAAACCTTTTTTGTAACTAACTTCACGACAATCTTGGGGGGGTTGAAGTCGCTTGGAAAGTCTGTTGTACGATTTCTTTTTATGGAGTTAATGGGAGTTTTAAAATATCGATAATTTTTCGTCGTACTACGTACGGAGACTTTCCGAAGTGACTGTATGCACTTGTAGACTGCGGATATTTATGGATCTTAAAGTGTAAATTTACACGAATATCCTCAGTCTACTTATAAAGAATCTACTTCCAAACGATAGTGTTCAAGAAGAGTAAGAGAAATAAAAATTCAATTGAAACACGTAGCTTGGCTAAAAGTACAATTGATGAGCAATTGTAGCAATAAGAAAGCAGCTTTAAACGTTTAAATCGCATTTATTGAGACAGATTTTATATTTAGAATTGGCGAAGATTGGGAAAGATTTCAAATGCGAAAGTTAACTGCTGCAAAGCTGACTGCAAGCTGCAAAAGTGGCTATGATTTTGAACGCATTTTTATGTTTTGCGTTCTTATTGCAGCAATCCCTTCAACTGATTCACTTTGACAGTCTCTTATGTGAATAAATATTTTGTCTTTATTTCAGCAAAGACAACCCTTTTCGTGAGGTACAATATATCTTACAGTATATTAATACGAATATGATTGCACATTACGGTGAGAGGATCATTCGGACTATTTATCGATCGTTAGGGCTATAACACGCAAACTACGCACGCACGCAAAATATAGTGTTTCCTGAATCTATAGAAGACCCCCCCGTAATCCGGAACGATAGTAACTCGGCATGTTACTTTATACCTTATGCGTTATTTAATTAGCGTTTTTTTTTTTTTTTTTCATTCGATCGGACTGTTAAAACAGTTCATCCATTCGGATCGATTACAAAAAATAATTATGCATGTATGTGCATACACACACGCACGCGTTCTGTGTGTAATTCTTATATAATTATATATAATTTTAATAAATAATACTATGTATATATATATATATAT